ATGCCAAAAAAGGACAAAGATGCTATAGATTTCTCTGCAGGTAACTTTAAAAGTAGCTGTTTATACTTTGCAATAGGATGCTGGAGTTTTTCTGTAGCCCAGTATCTCCCACAATTCTGGACATCTGGGCTGCGCCTCTTCATTCTGCTGCTCTGGGAGGTGGATGAAAATTTTCGTACTGTGTGCTCTGGCCACACCCCTTCTGCTTCTGCCCATTGCCAGTTTCTCTGCCTCTGCCGCAGCGGTCATTTGATTGCTCCTGCCTCTGTTTGTTTATTATTTTAATTTTTACCCTGTTTTGGAGCAGTGGCAATCATTTTTTCTTTTTAGCTTCCTTCTCCTTGTCCGTGGGTCCACGTATGTGATTTAACCCACCCTGAGACTTGGCTCCAGCATCTCCCTGCCAGCTCCTCTTACCCTATACAGGCATGACAGAGCAGCCAAAAAAGCACCGGGTTAAATCCAAGCAGTGCTCCATTTGTGAGGCAGCCTTTCCAGGCTTAGCAGATGCTGAGTTTTGGCCTGCACCCACTGAGCTAATCCAACTCTGTAAGGTCCTGAGGCTCTGAATCAGACGAGCATGTGGGGTTCCTCCCACCAAAGCAGACATGTCTCCAGCATGGGGGAAAATGGACCAGGAATCCAGGAGCAAAGCAGGGAGTGGCTCCAAAGATGACGAGGATTCCACTCAGCTGACTTGGGTAACTCCTGGAGAACAAAGAGGGGAGACTTATGGGGGCACAAACACTCACCCATTTGATCTTAAAGGTCCTTAGTGCTCTGGGAAAAGAGGCAAGGCTCATAATCACTCCCTCTTCTTCTCAATTTGACCTGGAGGTCTCTGACAATGCATCCCCACACACCTCCCAGGTGGAATGGGACCCAGCGGGGAAGAATTCAAAGAGCAATCTTTTGAGAAGGCTTTAGGCCCTCAAGAAGGCAAGTCCCAGAAAACCTCACCAAAGCTGCAGCAGAGCTACTACACTCCCAAAGTGTACAAAAAGATCTAAGAAATTTTAAAAAGGAGGCGAGGAGAAACCAGATATCCAGGAGGTAGGAGTCCTCTGACTTTTCCTTCTCCCTCCTCTGCTGATGAATGTGAGCTGCTGGACTCTGAATCTGAACTGGACCAGGAAGATATACAGCAGGGATTTTTTTTTTCTCCCTGAGAAGTTTGAGATAATGTCTCTATGATTCAAATTCAATAACACCCATGGGCTCCTGAGAGGTAAGCCTCAGAGTAAATTTCTCCCCACAAAATCCTCCCTTGAGGCTGCAATACTTTCCACTCCTCCTTTTGAGGAAGTGATCAGGGACAAATGGAACAAGCCTGAAAAGACAAGCACATTAACAAGAGCAATGTCAGGCTCTATAAAAGTCAGCTATCCAAGGTTGATGCTTTAATAGTGTTTCTAGCAAGGAGGGATGTGTCCTTGGAAGGGGTGTTCTACCCTAAGGACCCTATGGATAGAAAGGTGGAGGTCGCTCTCAAAAAAAGACTTTGAGGCTTCCTCAGCTACCTTCAGGGTGTCCCTAGCAGCAAGGGCATCTCTCCCCTAGCTGGAAGATTTCAGAGCCCTAAAGAGCAGAGATCATCCACACTTGAGTTGCATTTTAAAGAGAGTCTCCCTAACAACTGCCTCAATGGATTCAATGAGGCTTTCAGTGTGAACTATGGCACCACCTGTGGCTCCAACAGAATTCCTGTCATGATGTTTCCTGATCTCTGACAGCTTCTAAAGACAATCAAACTTGATCAATTATAGGGGCAGGACAGAAAACTTTTAACTATTATTTTCTATTTCCTTTTCTTATGACACACTAGTTTCCTGGTCCTTCCTTCAACCTATACTGCCTTGAACTGTCACCTTCCTTAATGGTGAACTCTCCAGTTAACTATGCCATGGCTACCCCTTGTGTGGACTCATTTACTACTTCTTGACTGAAAGGACAGCTGTAATATGAAATTGCAATGATAAAGGAAGAGAAGGTAAGACAGAAAACAGGGAATTCTCACCATTTTTAAGAGAATGAAGTCTCAGTTTAAAAAAAACATTTTCAAATGTTTCAATCTGATTTTCAAAAAGTTGATGGAGACTCTTAGGAATTTCTCCTAGTGTGTGTCTGCCTGTCTAATTGAATTTTAAAGTCCTTTCCTTCCATTGTGATATAACAGCTACTAAAACTAGTACACGTAATGTATATGTGAATTTCTTAGAAGTTTATAGTCTTAAGCTGTGTTTCTCATGCAGACTGCATCGAAGGTTTGTGGAATGATCTATACGTATCTGTTTGTTCATTAATTAGGCTTGGTCTACACTACAGAATTAGATTGACATAAGGTAGCTTATGTCAAGAGGCATAGGGCTTATGTCGGTGTAGTTGGGGCTACGCAGTAGTTCCTTCCATCAGCTGTTGGCTGTCTTGTCAATGTCACAGCTCCAGCCATCTTCCCCCTCAGCTCCTGTTTGGGAGCAGGGAGGCGAGAAGCCCCTGGCAGTTCCCTTGCTTCTGGCAGGGAGTGCTGGGGGGCAGCTGGACTCCCAGCGGGGAGCTGTGTGAAACTGAGAATCCTGACTTAGCCCGCCACACTGCCCCTCTTCAGTTGGTGGAAGTGTTCCTGGTGAGGAAGCACACCACCAACAGATGGAGGGTAGTGTGGACATCAGCCACTGCAGTAATTACTATGGTCGCTGTAGATTGTAGTGTAGACATTATATTGTATTTTGCATGTAAAAGACCATCCCATGCAAAAACAAACTATATAATGAAAATAGAATAAAAAACACATAAGGCATGGGCCCTATGATTCCTGCTCATATGTAATCCAAACAAAGTAAATATAGGCTACATCACAAGATTCAGCACTTAACTGGGAGAACTGCAGTTAGTACAAGTGTAATTCAAAAGTCCAGGTGCTGTTAATTCCCAAACTTAGGTTGTAATAATACTTTATCATGCTGTATTGCCTTCAGAAGGCTATCAGAATAGTCCAGCTTCTAAAATGGATCCTGCTCATAGTCCCATTAAGTCCATGGCAAATGGTCTATTAATTTACATGAAACTAAGGAAGTACGTCCTGAATACATATCACACCATTCCCATGTCTAGGCTGAGTGTTAATAGCATGCTTTACTGCACTGAGGTAGCATAGCATTACGTTGCAAAGTGAAGAGCTGAAATCTTATGTATATAAATTAATATCTGCAAAGTTCTTGGATGATGTAAGGCTAAATTCTGCCCTGCTGTAAATCCCTTGAAATGAACAGAGCTGTACCTACCGAAACCAGGTCTGAATTTACTCAACAGAGCATATGCAGGTATTACTGAAATGAATTAAGAATTAGGTAACCACTGTAATTCTTGCCACTCCAGGGCTGTCCACCTGTGGCTCCCTTGGGGTTGCATGAACATGCAGCAGAGTGTTAGTCATCTTGTCCCCATTGTGTGTGTGGGGGGGGGATGGGGACTGGTTTTCTGGGGGGCAGAACCTTCAACTCCTCTAAGCCTCCGTTGGAGTTGTGGGTGGTTTGTGACCCAGGGCTTTGTCCAGGTGGCAGCCTGAGTATTATTACTGTAGCGCGTAGCTGCTCCAGGCTAGGGGCAAGTCCCCATAGTGCAGTTAGGCACTGTACAATCACCAAAAAAAGAAGGGCTCTAGGGCCCCAGTCCCTTTGCAGCCATGGTGTGGGAGCTGTTTCATAGGCGACATGCTCTTGCGAGGCAGACACAGGCGAGCAGTGCCCCTCCCCTGCTGCCCGGCCCCTGGCATCTCAGCCCCTGGGGAGGAACCATTGAGGGGGAAGGTCAGGTGCTCGTTGCCTGCGTAGCCGTGCGCTACCAGGCGGCTCCAGCAGGTGGCGCTGCGGGCAGGGCGAGCTGAGCAGCGTGACAGGCCGCGGCCCGGGAAGCCGGGGCCGGGCCATGGCTGAGCCGCAGGGAGAGCCCGCGAAGTACCTCGCGCGCATCTCCGAGTGGGCGGACTCCCACCTCACCCTCATCCGGGTACACTTCGGGGAGGGCGCGTGCGGGGCAGGCTGGGTACAGCAGGGGGCCGGGGATCTCATGTGGAAGGGCCATGGCAGGGGGGCTCCCTCAGAGCCCGCTCTGCCCCGCCGTTCCCGGCATCACCCGCCCTGGCGGCCCTACGCAGCCCCGGGAGCTCAGAACTGCGGCCGGCAGGAGGCCGCTTGCAGGGCCGCGCTGATAGCGCGGGGGGCGTGTGGGAGGCGGAACACGTTACACGTCCCGTCCTGGGGAGGGAGGAGCGATGGCGGCGCCCTCCCTGCCACGCACCGCCCTGGCCTGATTAGCTCCCTCTGCCTTGCGGCTGGTAACTGGCCTGGGCGCACCGAGCCCGCTCCCGCCCCGCTCTGTTCGGGGGTAGAGGGCGCGCGGGGTAGTTAGCGGTGGCGGGCCCAGGCCGCGACAATTGAGGTGTCCACTGCTGAAATGGTTGGGACCCAGTTGGCTTGGAGCTTGACAGGCTATGCAAAGCCCACCCGTTCCCGTGACAACAGTCAGGCGCTGCACCATTGCTCAAGCGAAAAACAGGGAGTCCTTGTGGCACCTTAGAGATGAACAAAGATATTTGGGCATAAGCTTTCGTGGGCTAGAACCCACTTCATCAGGTGCATGGAGTGGAAAATACAGTAGCTGGTATTTTTCATAGTACATGAAAAGATGGGAGTGGATGGGTCATTACAAAACCTAATTTCCCCCTACTGTTACTCACACCTTTTTGTCAACTGTTTGAAATGGGCCACCCTCATTACCACTACAGAAGTGATTTTTCCTCCCTTGGTATTCTACTGTTAATGGAATTGTCTTGTTAGACTGACCCCCCCACTTGGTAAGGTAACTCCCATCTTTTCATGTATGACGTGTATATATACCTGCTACTGTATTTTCCACTCCATGCATCTGAGGAAGTGGTTTCTAGCCCATGAAAGCTTATGCCCAAATAAATTTGTTAGTCTCTAAGGCGCCACAAGGGCGCCTCGTTGTTTTTGCTGATACAGACTAACACAGCTGCCACTCTGAAATATTGCTCAAGAGTCATCCCTCTTTTTCCTCTGCTGTCTCCTTTGGCTTTGAATCAATTCACTGGTCATCAGAAGATTATCTGATGACAAATAATCTAGGGATGTAAAATGTTAACTGGTAAGCATTAGTCCAACTGGTTAACCATAACAGTTAACTCCTGGCCCCAGTCGTGCCGGATTGACCCCAGCTGCTTAATCGGTTAACCATTTAAACAAAATATTTTGTTTGAATGTTTAACTTTTTAATTGGTATTTACATCCCTTAAATAAAGCAAGATTAAAATAGAGCTAAGGAAAATAAACTGCAACATAATAGGCAACCCCGCGGGGAAGGTATTGGGCCGTTCTTGAGCAATCCTTTCTAAAACTATTGAGACTTTAACAACGTTTTAATAGTAATACACAACATCTGGAATTGTGAGCATTTCTAGCTTCACTGAAATACAAAACAGAAAACTTGCCCAAGATCCCCCAGTGAGTCAATTCATATTAGAACTTCTTGATTGCCTGTTACCTCTTTGGTTTTATCTTATTTTTTCTTTAATGTTTTTAATCAGATGAAAAATTAAGGATTTAAATCTGTTTTTTGCAGAACATTAGCACTGGAATGGCAATAGCTGGAGTCATTTTATTTGCAAAGAGTATTAAATTGGTAAGTTGTGAATAATTTGTTAATGAGCAGTCTTTATACCCATTTGTCACTTTTAGCTGAAGTTGTATGAGGTCAGATTGTGTCACTGTTCCACCTTCTTTGTGTCACTCTGGCATAACAAAGCAGGGAGACAGCTAGGGTAACCGATCAGTTGGGTGGTGTTGCCTTGGCATAAGAGAATCTAGGTGATACAGGGCTAGCATGTAGAGGAGGGGCCATGGTGTGGCCAAAGTGCTCCTGAACTCTATTGATCCTTGAGAGAAGCTCCTTTACAGTCATTGCAGCTGGAGCAATTCAAATCTCCTTGAAAGTATTCTCAGTTGATTCTCAGAACTGGATCAGCAGCTCGGGCGTCAGTGCGCCACAAATGTTGCCAACAGCCATCTTTGTGGGCTCCACAGGCAATCTGTTCTGGGCAGAGAAGAGCTACTCCCTAATAACTTGCACAGTATGTTTATATTGTTCTTATTTCAAGTGTTTCTATAAATGACAGTTTGTGAAAACATTGCATTAGGGTTTGAGAGCAACTGAAAAATAATCCCTATTTTTAATGATCTTTTATTCATATTTGAAAAGGAATCTTGAGGTGGCTGGTTTGGTGGATTGGAAGATTACAGGCAGTCTGTAAATTCTCTCTTCCACTGGTTTAATATTGCTACGAGTGTACTGAGGTTTTAGAAGTGGTTCACAATCAAACTGTGCAATCTCTAATTGACAGAAGAGTAACTTTAAGCTTTCACATGTATTTTATTGTACTTCATCTTCAAAAAATCTTTAATTAGACATAGCAATAATAAGCTGTGGTTTTGGCAACATAATTACACACACACCTCCTGACTGTTCTTTACTTTCAAACTTTACTTCCAAGGCCAAAAATCATGTCAGCTTTGACTTCAGACTCCCTCTGACCTCATATGTCTCCCTTGTCTATAAACCTTTTTCACCACTTCCAGAATATTGCTAGAATTCCTCCTTACTTTGACTCAGTCTGCTGAATTTCTTGTTCATGCTGTGATCACATTCTGCCTTGATTGTTTCATTTCTCTTTTTGCACTTTCTAAATCTTTATTTTCTAAACATTTGATGATTCAAATGTTGTGCTCAGGCAACTTTTCCCCTGGAGACTGGACTATGTCATCCCTGTCATCTTCATTCACATCCTGTTTCTCTCCTGTTCCATTTTGCCCTCGTTTTTTGTTTTTTTGTTTTAATTTCCATAGACTTGCTCCTTTTAGTTCCCGTGTCTTTCTACTATATCTTCCTATAGTCTTCTAGATAGATGCCTACTCATCTGTCTGTCCTTTCTACTCTTCCAGTCTTGGGACCTTTTTCACTTTACTAGTGTATGTATTCCAGTTGAGTCAACAGAAGTACTCATGTGACTTGAACACTGATATTTGTTATCTCTGTTCCTTTCCCATAACTCTTCATAGCAGGCAGTTACTCTCTACATGTTGTTCTACTTCCTGAGCTGTGATATCCTTCCTTCTCTTTATACTCATCCTAAAATCTTCCCTCACTCTTATGACTGACACACCGGGCCAGCTCCTGGCATTCATAAGACTGCTTTGCACCACATTGGCAATATAAAGCAGATCTTAACATTGTTCTGTCTGGCAGTTAGCTGGTGTAGAGGTGGCATAGTCAGTTGAATTCCACTCTTTCCTTATGATTCCGAGAACCGTTTTCTTACGGTTTGCAATGTCTGTGGTGCTTGAACAGCTCACAAGAGCACTTTTTAATTCCAAAAGGCAATTGGGGATGAGAAGAGGGAAATCCCTTATCAATATACAACTAAAATCTCTTATTTCATATATTTCTCATGTTAGAAAAAATAATTATTCAGTTGTTTTATGCAGGGACTGAAATTATAGTGCTTCACAAAGCAAATTTTACCTCATACTTTGGAGTCTGAATATGCCTAATGTTCTTTGAGTTCTTGTTTGGTTATTAGTGGAGCAGTATTCCTAAGTGATCTTTACATGTCCTAGATATCAATAAGATTTTATATGTAATGCTGTTAATGTGAAGCAGTACTGAATAGTATATACTGCAAGCATTGCTTTTTTTCTTGAACCTGGGTGTTTGCATATGATGGTATTTTAAAAAAAATTCAAGTCTTTGTAAATACACTTAAATGGCTGTTGGACCTTGGAATGCAAATTAGATTTGACTCTGAGCCACTTCTCAACCTCATTTTATTTTATTTATTTACAAAACCTTCAAACTCTCTGCCTGCAAGGTCCCATGTTTCTCAACTCCTAGTTAAGGGACCTTGCAGACAACAGAGTGAAGGTTTAGTAAATAGAATAAAAATGGGTCAATGAGATGTTCAGTTGGCTTTTTTAGAGCCTGATGTGCCATTCAGTGAGAGCAGCATCAATCACTTAATAACTATATGAATAGATTAATCTGAATATATCCTGCATATGATCTTAAACAATAGGGGCTTTAAAATTAAACATTAATAGTAAAGTTTCTTCATTATGTGTCAGCCCTCACACCAAATCAGAGAAGTGGGCTGTAGTCCACGAAAGCTTATGCTCTAATAAATTTGTTAGTCTCTAAGGTGCCACAAGTCCTCCTGTTCTTCTTTTTACCAAATCTCTAGTTTATGCTCCAATTATATCCCACTTTGGTTACTGCAATATCCTCCCCTCTTGCCTCCCAAACACACACATTGTCCTCCTTCAATCCATACAAAATGCTGTTGCTAAACTCATTGCCCATCAGATTGATCATGTAACCTCCCCTTTTTGAATCTCGCAATTGATTTTCCATCTCATGTCAAATCAATTTTAAACTTCTGTCTCTGTGTTCAAAGCTCTACATAATTCTGCCCCTCCTCACATATACTGCCTTGTCAAGCCTCTCCTGCCACCCATGTTTCTAAAATTGTCCACCCTTTGTGAGAATCTGACAAAATCACTTATGTGCTGCCTTCCTTGCACCCCTGCCCCATGCATGGGATAACCTCTCTGAGCTCATCTGCAAGACTCCTACCCTTGTTGATTTTTAAGCTTCTCTTAAAGACACACTTCTTCCATTCTGCATATAGTGAATCAGATTGACTTGTGTATAAATTGTATATAAAATGGGTATTGTTATTGCCTTTCCCCTGACTTCTGTCTACTTGTCTGTCCTTGATTGTGAGCTCCTTGGAGCGGGGACCATTCTTTTTAATTTTGTGGAAAACGTCTAGCAATAGCTACAACAAATTATTATTAATAATAATAATAATAAAGTTCATTAGTATAATGTATTGGAGTTTGTAATTTGCAAGATTCATCTTGACAAAATCTTGGTTCAGTGTGATTGCATTTTTTCAAATAATGTGTAACGGCTGTTTTTATTTTTCTTACTCTTCCTCCTGTATCAACAGACAACAAAATTTACGAGTGCTTTGGATATACCAGTAGAATTTATAGAAAAGAATGTGAAACTACGAGGAAGGTTATGTCACATAACTGAGAAAGGACTAGAAGTTGAACATGTTCCCATTAGCCTTCCTTTCCTGTCATCATTACAGAGAAAATGTAAGTAAAAATGCAGGAAGAATGAGACTAATAATGACAAAATTAAATGTCCTCCAGTTGATACAGTCGATGTCCACTAAACAAGCAAAAATCTGCAACATCTGAATTGTTCCTTTAAAAACTTTTTTAGTGAATTTAGTGCCCTTAGAAAGCAGCTGGAGAGACAGCCATAGAAAATGAAGTTCTGTCCACACACAGAACAGTTACTGTATAAGCAGTGGTAGAGGAAGGGGTGGGAGTGAGGAGGGCCTGAGTTCTAATTCTGGCTCTGGCACTGACTGTGTGTGTGGCTGAGGCCATGTGATTTCACCTCTGCTGAAGTTTCCCCACCAGTAAAATGAGGTAATATTTATCCACATACTTTAAAAGTGTATTGTAAGGATTTATTAATACAGTGATTTTGAATATGCATCGGTCTAGACATCTTATGTATTCATGTGGTTGCTGTTACCATAGTATCTGAGTGCCTCACAATCTTTAATGTATTTATCTTCACAACACACCCGTGAGGCAGAGAATTATAGTTTTCCCACTTGATGGCTGGGGAACTGAGGCATGAGAGACTGAGGCCTTGTCAACATTAGAATCTTTTGTAGGCATAATAACGTTTAAGGGTGTGATTTTTTAGGACACTTTTATACTGACAAATCCCCGTTTAGGTTCAGTTATATCGGTAAAAAAGTGCTTTTGCCAGTATAATTTATTTTGTTCAGGGAACTAGTATAAGCTATACTGGCAAAAGCACTCTATTACCAGTATAAGTTGCACCTACAGCTGTAGTAGGAGGGTTTGCCAGTATAACTGATCAGTAGGATTTGATACAGAAATTCATTGGGATTTGAGCACCTAAGTCCCATAGATTCCCTAAAATATCCTAGCTAGTACAGATAATGAGAACATCCAAAATTTCATTAGATAGAATTAAAAAAAAATTGGAAGGGCTATAAAAACTCATGCTTCAAGACACAAGCCTATTTTTAACTGAAGGGGCATAGAAGAAACTTCCATATGGGGAGGCTGTTCTGTAATTGTCCATGTCAGGGTTTCTTGCACCTTCCAGAAGTAGATGCTAGCAGCTGCCATTGAAGACAGGACACTAATCTAGATGGACCATTGGTCTGACCCAGTTAGGCAGTTCGTATATTCATAACATCATTGATTTCTGTGAGGTTGTATAACTCCATTGGATCATAGTTGAGTGTGTTTTTACTACAAATACTGTCAGAAAATGTTAATATTTTTTTTAAAAGTCTTTCATACATAGGGAAGATATTTATTCAAAAATGAGCAAACCAGAATATCAAGTGGGCATACTAAACTTTTGATGATACATCTTCCCTTTGGAAGCTGGGCAATTATTTTTACATGTAGTTTAAATTGAATTATCTTTGTTGAATAAATCATGCTGTAACCAAATGTGTCATTGGCTTTAAAGACACTGTAAGAGGTCTGGATTTTAGTCTTCTGAGTACATTATTGATAGGTTAAATGTCAACAAAATAAATACTTGGGCTTGATTTTAATTGCACACAAGTTTCACACTGTTGTAATTCAATGTACTTTAATGGAGTTACTCCTGACTTATACTGGGGAGAAAGAAAAATCAGGCTTTTTTAAGCAGTGTGATTCTCTAAGAATAAAAATCTGACATTAAGCATTACAGTCTGATGTCTTGGAATCTCTTTTCTTAATGTGTACATAAATTTTCTAGGAAAATATTTTCTGACCATTTTTAGGTTTTCAGAGTCCTGTAGGTCAAAACCACATTATTCTGAAACAGGAGATAAATGTCATGTCTGAACACATGAGACCAGATCCTCTGCTGTTGTAAATCATTGTTGTTCCAGTGAGTTAAATAAATACTCCATGTAAGTCAGTGGAGCTATACTTTTTTGCAGACACTGAGGATCTGGTCCATCGTGTGGAATTGGATCTTTTTTGATCATATAGAGTAAGAAAAACGTTTTTTATATATGTAATATATTCAGGGCAATCAAATGGTGTTTTGCTGGTCAGACTTGCTGGAGTGGAGCTGACACCGAATGCTGTGGTCTGGTTACAGGAAGAGTTAAAACCTGCAGAAATGATGTGGTTCCAGCTTCTTGGAAGGGAGGATTTGGTGCTTGATTGCCTCATTTTAGTAAATAAGGTAAACACAGTAACAAGAAGGACTGACAGTTCTTTAACTTTTATTTATATCCTAAGATTTGCAGTGATTATTGCTATTACTTGCTTAATATGTAAGATATAATGGTATTATATTAAATTAAACATTTATGTAGACATTTTATATATGCAAATTGGAGATAAAATAAATATTTATTTTTGCAAACCCATTTAAAATATTAGTGTAGCTTTTGAGTGGCTAGTTAGCAATTCTCTACGCAGTCATGGTTTGTGGCATCTGAAAATACAGTGCAAGCTAGCTCTGTAGTCTAGTGCTCTACAATGTCAGGAATTTTGATTGATCAAGTGTCTGGTGTATTAAATGTTGCTCCACAGATGCCTGCATATTTCATGTTTAATTAATAGATGTTAAAAGCGAGTTGAATGCTGTACAACTTTTAAGTATTTCTGGAGTTCCCAACACCAAAAGGGTATAGAATTAGTCATAATATTCAGACAATTCATACAACAGATTAATTGAAAATGTACTAATAGTTTTAATATCCTTTGTAAATAGCCAAGCGAATACATAAAGTGAAATGCTGCCTTCATTTTATCTTTTTGTAGGGTAGATTTTTCAGTGTGTGTCTGAATGAAGAGATCTTGAGACAAGGGCTTGGCAAAACAACACGTATTGAAGGACTACATCATGACTCTCCATTATACTGGAAGCTTCACAAAAGACTACTTCAAGCAGAACTAAAAGCCTTGAAGAAAAATAAGGGAATATGGAAAGAAGAAAGTTACTTTGAAAAACTTAGAGATCATATAAGTAATAATAAATTTGTACAGAAGTTAAAACAATTTGCAAACTGGCTACGAATACATATTTAAAAGTGAAACAGGAAGGACTTAGCTGGAAAAATGCTATTTGGACATGGATGAGTGTCTCTTTGGTGTGTGCTTTTTATTAACAATGAGCTTATGAAGGAAAGCCTAAGCCTTGATTTTTAAGGCTTCTGCCTCAAGGAAAAATATAGAAAATAGTCCTAGTAATGTCATTTAAAGAGATGTTTAAATATATTATAATTCTTGTATAAGAATAAACTTCAGCATGATGATGCCTGCTAAAGTGTGTTAAGGCTAACATTATTCAAATATAGGAGCCAAAAGGTATGCTTCTAAATCCTTAATTTAGGCTCCTAAATAAGTGGTCAGATTTTCAAGAGTGCTGAACACCCAGATGACCCCATTTACATCAGTGGAAATTATTGAAAATCCTATTTTTGAAGATCTGAACTATTCATGTACAGTGTGACACTTTACTTACATTGCAGTGGAATATAATACAATATGCAGGAGGATTGCATGAAAACGGAATATTAATTATTAGATATCACCTAAAGAAAATAACTTTCCAATACTTCTGCTTTCTTGGACCTTTGTTGTACATAAGTGTTTTTGTTTGAGTCCGATATAAGGGAACACATATGTACTATGTTTACTATTTGTGTGTTTTAAAAGTTTAATATGTTGAATAGCTAGTTCTACTATGTAATTAATAGAAAAGATGACTTGACACAGCTGATCTTAAAAAGAAGAGGGTATAGAAGTTCCTAACCACAAGAATTTAAATTTAGAAACACAGTAGGTGAGCATAAGTTAGTACATCAATAAACTACTTATTTGGTTGTAGTATAAATACATTCGTTTATACATTTGTAAAGAATTGCAGAATTTAAAGATTATAATCTGGTGGAAGTGACCTTTTGAATATTCATCGTTTGTTTCTATATCTAGGTTAAATCAAGTGAATTATACATGTTTTGTAGTCAAGAGCACTAAACTCTGTGCAACCTTAAAAATTAAACATGGCACATTAAATTTCTTATTCTCCTCTGTTCTTATACTTAGCTGCAATTTTTTAAAACTGAGGACACTTATACTTTTGAAGGATGAAATAGCCAAAAAACCTATTATGAGAGCAGTATACTTGTGTGTGTGTTGAACTTTTATGATCTTGATAATAACAGTTTGCCACCAGAATAGATCTGACATTCTGTCTTTATGGAAAGGTGTATTCCTTTTAAGAGTAGGGCAGGCTGATAACCCTTTCTAGGATATAGAATAATTAGGGCTGTTGAGCGATTAAAAAAATGAATCATGCGTCCATGCTGATGACGGGTTCTGTTCAATAACAATCCAAAGCAGTAGAGACCGACGCATGCTCATTTTCATTATCTGAGTCAGATGCCACCAGCAGAAGATGATTTGGGTTCTGTCTAAATGACCAGCATTGTTACAAATGGCTACTTTTATTTGTGTTTAATTATATATCTTATAAAGAATAACATAGCCCTGATGGCACATAAGGCTGTATTTCCATTCAGGAGTTCTGCTGATAAGAGACCACAAAAGCAAACTCCTATATTTGTTTATGTTTATGATTTTTTTTTATTGTCATTCAGGACTGATCTATAGAAAGGCTCCATTCAGAAACAAATAGCTATGGTGTTCCGGACTGTGCAAATCTTGAAAGGGTGCAGATCTTGTCTCTGTAGGAGGCCTGTCTATTCAGAAGCTAATAATAGAGTAGAAACAAACAGCTCTGCAGCAGCCAGTGGTGGAGCTGACTGGGAGGTAGGAAAAAACTATTTTCCTTGTGTGCCCATTAATGTCCTATTCTATCTATACTGAGCATCCTCCAGTTCCTCCCTGCTGCCTTAGCAGCACTGCACATGATGAGCATTTCCAGCTTTAGGTTGCAGTACCTGCATGATCAGGGATGGGGGAAAAGACAGATGAAACTACATGGCCCGGGCAGCTCAGTCTCTGAAATTCTGTATACATTATAAACAAACCTCTTAATGGGGTGGTGTAAGTGAGAGGCGATGCCTCCAAATGGCCTGTTAAATAAAAATGGTCAGGTTTGCATTTCCCCTTTACTGCTATAGCGGATGTTAAAGACAAATGGTTGTCATAAATAACTCTTCCTGGTGGCCATAGAAGTTTGTCAGCAAATTTTGGGTCATGGCCTTTTTAAAATCCTTCCTTTTGGACTAATAATAAAGTGTAAGTTGTGGATTGAGTCCTGCTTATGAAGTATAGGGAGGGCTTCACTGAGCATGTATGATTATCTGTGGTCGGAAAATTCATCATTGTGAATGCTATGCTGTTTACTGCGCACACCCAATGTTGAAGTCACTGAAGGCAGGAGAGAAAGAAACAGCAAGAAAAATTCCACCTACACAAGAGTCCTATGAAAAGAAAGTTGATAAAAACAAAAGTCTTTCTTTCCTTTCCCACACCTGGCTAGCTAGAGATCATGCAGATTCCCTTATGTAAAACTCTCCACACCCACTGTGTAGATCTTTAAATATAAAAGAAAAATTACTATACTGAAAATAGAGTTTTGTTAGATTTCCACTTCCTTCACCATGGGGGTGAAGTCCTGAGCTCTCTGAGCCAGAGGGAAACTTAAAAGGCTTTTGAAAGGTCATAGATATTCTGTATTGGAGGGGTGTCAAATTCATTCTGGAGACAGGACCAAATTCCATTTTAATTATTGTCCCCCGGTGAATGTAAATCAGGCATATATGTCTCCTTCTTTCTTCTCTTTGAATTTCCCACTGTTCAACTACTCTCAAGTCCTCCTTTATGGTAGACTTCACTCCAACCCCCTTCCTCAGACCATCTGCTAGAATGATCAGCAATCAAATAGTTCATGGTGACATTTAAAGTGTCACCACTGGACTTTCGCATTAACGCTCCAGTGAGATTAATGGGATGGCCAGGAGAATCTATAATGGTCAGAGCCATTGCTGAGGATTGAAAACTCCCTTAAATAAATAAATTATATAGATTCTTCGTGAATATATCATGCAGGCCACATAAATATGTTAAGTGGGCCAGGTGAGGCATTTGATCAAATATTCAAAAGGGGTTATAGAAAACAAGTTAATGTTTTGTATTTATTCAGAGAGCTCCGGAAACTTAACTGTTGCATTGTACAGTCTTGAGACAACAGGAGGCAGGGTCTTTCCAGCAAGGGATTGTGATGGTGGAATTCTCTCTCCCATTAAATTCTCCAGGGCTACACTTGATTTATTTGTTTGTTTTTTTTCTTTCCCCTCCCCTTCTGCCTAACTTGGTTCCTGTTCTGGGATTTACTTGGACTTGTTTAACTAGTTGCAAATTATGGGCCATATTATGAGTACTCTTGTGTGAATGTACTGGAGATAAGAGTGCACAGGGAGCCCCTTCACTCCTCTAGCTGCTACATGTATAAGATAGTCATAAGTCAGTATAAAGCACAAGAGAGGAGTGGTACAAGTTTACTGCTAGTGTTAATGGCGGGTAGACACAGAGTGGGTGAATAGCAGAGGTGCTGGAACAATTTTGGGGGTGCTGAAGATGGAAACCATGTATTTGATGTTTGTTATTACTACTTCAAGCCAGGGAGTGTAGCAGCACCCCCACTACTCCTCGTTCCAGCACCACTGATGAATAGTAAGTTTATGTAGGGTGAATAATGTTAGTGAATGAAGGGTGTGTGAAAATAGAATGCGTGAGTGCAGTGTAAGTACAGATGTAAGGAGGTGAAACAGTGAGAGGGTGAACTTACCTCATGTAAAATGATAAGGAACTAAGTGTATTTAATAATGTATTTAATGGATCATATATGTACATATATATCAAAATAGCTAGTAATATTATAAGCAAGTGCATAACCAGTATAACTAATGGGAGGACTAGTTTGTAGGATGGCCTTTGAATAACCTTTTGGGAGGGAATGCAAAACAAAGCCGTTTGGCTAATTAAGATTTGATGTACTATCTATTCTTTTATTCAACTCTTGAATTGTCCTTCATTTTGGGTACAGGACAAGGACTAAGTTAATCGGCGGTCATGATGACCCAGCCAAGTATACTCCGGATAAACAAGGAAAGTCCCCAAAGATCCTGTGAAATATTAAGATTAATAGTTTTTATGGCTAATAAGTAAATAAACATGTTACATAATCTAGTGTTATGTGGAATCTTATATTTGGTCATAGATATTGTTAATCATTATTGTGTAACAGATCAGAGACGAGGGGTGTTGATAGAAAGCAGAGTATCATCTTGGGCATAAAAGAGTGCACGGAGACATGTCTTTGCCTTTGTTTATGTACAACCTTGTTGTATGTACTCAACCTGACATGCCTTAAATGATCACTGGGATGTGGCTCTCTGTACCTATGCTGAATAAATCTGTTCCTTGGATCTGAACTCTGGACTTAGCAGTGATTGTCAGCTTTGCTAGGTTCGTAAGGCAACCTGTGGGCCTGGTTGGTGTCCTGAAAACATCCTCAAAACAGGTAGCGTAAACGTGAGTTTGAATGAGTGCAGGGGGAGAGAGTGAAAATAAAGAGTGAGATGGAGAAAGGAAGATTCTTGGGGCTTGATTCTGCACTCAATCCAGTTTTACCCTTTTGTTGCACACTGACTTCAGTAGTTATGATTTGCACCAGTGTAATCAAGAGCAGAATTTTGCCCATGGATTAGGATGGAGAGAAAAAGGAAGAGGTTGAGAAGAGAGGGTGAAAGGCAGAGGGCCTGATTCTCCACTGTGAGACCAGTTTTGGGTCTATATAGTTTCAGTGGTGTTAGACCAGAAAACCTGAGAATCAGGTCCAGTGTGTGCAAGTCCACAAGAAGAGAGAAATAGAATAAAATAATTAAGAGAGCGAGAGAAAGGAGGGAAAAGACAAAAAGTGGAGACAAAAAATGAAACCGGGATAGAGAAATTATGAAGAGAAAGGGAAAAAAATAGAAATGATACAACTTCATTAAAGTAACAACATTGTAGCTTTTATTTCATTTTCCTACACTAACCTGCATTTTTGGGACAGTTCCAAAGATTATTTAAGAGATTATTTAAAAAATGCAACTGATATTGTCGTTCACACAGTTTTCCCCTTTTGACTCATAAGGGAGACACTACAGCTTCCTAACCTATGGCACCAACACATCTACAGCAGGCTTAGTTACCAAAATTCCAACAACACAGGTGTAGCTGATCAGGAAGACAATTATAGGCACTGCCTGCTGATGGAGAGAGGAACTCCCAGTGCAGAGGAACCTGCATTTGTTTTCAAACCACATGCCATATTTAACAATAATAATAATAATATAATAAAAAATAAGAGTTTAGCTGGATTACAGGCTAAGATGAAGATAAAAATGTTACATAATCTAGTGTTATGATAGCGACCCTAGGATATTCTTTGATCAGATAAACGTTAAAAACAGAATAGGAAAAAATAGAGATTCAATAAAGAATGTGGAAGAGTTTCAGCACTTCTGGAAGAAAATCTGTTCTGAGGATGTACAACATAATTAGATAGCAGATTGGATTAAAAATGTGAGAGAGAAAATTAAAACCCACAGAATAGAGGAATACACAGGCATATCAAAGAAAAAAGGAGATAAGATATTGAGAGGAACAAAAAATTGTAAAGCACTTGGATCAGATGAGGTGTATAGATTCTGGCTGAAATACTTAACTCTCCATAACTATTTACTTGAACAACTTAATAAATGTTTGAAGAACAGATGTCCAAGATGGACAGGAAGAACCGTTCTCATACCCCCCCAAAAAAAAAAAAAACGAAAGGCCACAATGATCCTATGAATTTTAGACCAGTCACATGTTTACCTATGATGTGGAAACTGCTAATGGCAATTCTGGCAAAGATGAGATCCAGATCATGCTAGTTCGCAGTGGAATGAGGCACTCCTGAGCAAAAAGTCTGGATAGTAAACACGAAAGGGACAAAAGGATATCCACCTCATGATAAACGGGAAGATCACAGAAGATGCAAAACAAACAAAAATATAAAAATAAAAAAAATTGAGATTGCTTGGATAGACTAGCAAATAGCATACGATGGTGTCCCTCCCACCTTCGTGGATCAAAATGCTCAGGGTTCATCCAAAGATCATTTCCTTCCTGCAGCAATCTGTGGTTAACTGGAACACTCAACTCTACCTTGAAGGGACTCTTGTTGATGAGGTCCAAATTAAAAGAGGAATATTTCAAGGAGATTCCTTATCACCAATGCTGTTCACAGTAGCGATGTTGCCACTGACATGGATGAGCCGGGAGAGAAATTGTGTTTATCTTATCAGCAAAGAGTAAAAACTAGTTAACCATTTGTTATGTATGGAGGATCTTAAACTATATGAATGGTAACAAAAGGAGATATAAAAATTGATGTGTAGGAAAGTTTGATCAAGATATAAAGCTTGGCTTGGCTAAATAGGTGTCAGCGTGAGTAAAAAGGGGCAAACTGGTACAATCACATGACATACAAGTTAACGAAGATACTATCCAAGATTTCTCTCAGCCTGGCTCCTATAAATACCTTGAATTCAGGAAACTGTTGGAGTTACAACATAAGTCAAAGTAATAGTGAGGAAAGAATATTACAGACAAATAAGAACTACTAAGGACAAAACTCAACCTGAAGAATTCAATCCACCCTATTAATATATGCATGATGCCAGTAGTACGATACACTTGCAGAGCGATCAAGTGGAATTGAGGAAAAGAAAAAACTGACATCCAAACAAGAAAGTTTCTGGTGGTGCATAGAGAAGTGAGTAGCTAGCAAGACGTGAACAGGATGTACATTCAATGATGTGATAGAGGAAAAGGTCTGCTATACGTGGAGGAAGCAATTGACATTGAAAAATATATCATATGAGGAGTCGGCCACAGTAAAAGATCATCTAATTGTGATAACAAGTGAGAGCTGAGTGCACAACTCAGCCCTAGAAAGCATAAAAGAAAGAGAAAGCAAATTGCCAAAGAAAGGCTTGAAAAATGTACACAGAGTGGTGAAGAGAGATTGAATTCGTTAGTGACTGAAGATTAACAAACTCATGGTTTGTAGAAAGATACCTCAAAAGGGATGCAGAGCACCTCATTATGAGTGCACAAAAGCAGTCCTTAAAGCTTAATTACATTGAAAACAAAATTGATTGACAGAACTGCTCCCCTAACTACAGAATGTGTTCCAAAAAGGAAGAGATGGAGCATGTGTTGAGCATCTTCAGGAGCCTGGCTGGGAGAGAATATATGAACAGAGACAATGAGGTTGCCAAGTGTTTGCATTGGAACCTCTATGGAGTGCTCTAGAGAAGGAAGAGTCCTAAGATTTTTATGGGCTCTGGTAATTGTCACAGAGTAAACGGGACAGGCAAACATACCAGACATAGTTGCTGTAGAAAAGAAGACAAATAAGATCATGCTAATTGATATTGCCATACCAACAGACAGAAAAATAAAAAAGAAACCAGAAGAGAAGATAGCGAAGTATTAAGAACTCTGCCACAAGCTGGAACGATTGTGGAAAACTAGAACAGAGATGATCCCAGTGATTATTGGAACACTTGGAGGAATCCTTAAAGGTATGAATGAGCAGCTCAGGAACCTGTTAGGAGTGAAAGACATCAGAATCAGTGACCTCCTGGAAAGCGCTTTTAGATGCTGTGATGAAGGTCAAAGGAGAATGAATGCATTTGAACTCCTAAAATGAGGGAATTCTGTAACAAAAACTCCTAAACTCCCAAAACTACAGAGTCAGTTTGTGGTGACTCAGGGAGAGAAATTTTAGACAGTAACTTTCCCCTTTTTATGCTTAAAGATCTTGTATATTGTGAAGGCTCTTTGTTTAAAAAAACCAAAACCAAACAGCTTACAAGATGTAATACTGAGGGATAATATATATATTCAAAGGAGAAGCTCCCCCTCGCCCCCTTTTAAAGGTGCCTAACTCACATTTCACATGCAATTACTTTGAGGATAAAGTTTCTTCCGTTTGGCCCATGAGGCTTTGCTGTGCAATTGCAATAGCCCGTGCTGAATTGAATGACAACAATGGATTGTTTCTATGGTATCAGCCAATCAGTTGCTGGACAGAGATGAAAAGGTGAAATTTAAGATGTTGCTCCAAGAGGTCACATTACTCCCTCCGCAGCTCCCCTCCGCAGATCTGTCTCCTAGTCTGACAAACTGGACTGACAATAATGTTCTCACAGTCTGTAAAGCCCAGGAAAACCGGGGCATATCTTTCAGTTTGAGAACAGGACAAAAACTAAAACTTGTTCACTTCTTCTTGGCTTTTTTGACAGTGACTGAGTATGGTATTAATCTATTTGATGCATTCTCTGTGAAAGGAATTATATAATTATTCCCTGCACTTGCAGGGGATGGGTGGGATCCTCTGATAGGGCTTTTCCATCTCTAATTTTTTAGATCTTTACAAAAAGAAAAGTAAAAAGCAACAGAGGGTCCTGTAAAAAGCAACAGAGGGTCCTGTGGCACCTTTGAGACTAACAGAAGTACTGGGAGCATAAGCTTTCGTGGGTAAGAACCTCACTTCTTCAGATGCAAGAGGGTCCTGTGGCACCTTTAAGCCTAACAGAGATATTGCATGCATCTGACGAAGTGGGCATTCACCCATGAAAGCTTATGCTCTAATATCTCTGCTAGTCTTAAAGGTGCCACCGGACCCTCTGTTGCTTTTTACAGATCCAGACTAACACGGCTACCCCTCTGAAAAAAGAAAAGTGTTTTCTTGCATTTTGAATGGACAGTAACTCAGTGTAAAGTGAAATACAAACATGACTCGCACAATGTGACCCATACTTTCTTGGAGCCTTCTTATTGGAGGAAAATTTGAAATAGAAGGTGAATGAAAAGCTGCTTAGTTACTCCCAGCAGACTTTGAACTAGCAAACAATAGGAGCACGCTGAATAGAAGCGGAGACAAGAAATGCTGGAATACCTGGTGCTGGATCACTACTACTTCAGAATCCTTTAGATAAATTAATCTCCTGTTAGAAAACAGAAACCAAGTTCGTGCATTTTAAGTGTTCAGAGGGGACACACAAATGAGATGCGGCAGCTTGCTTCCTTTTTTGGGAAAGCGCAATTCCCCCCGGGCATGGAGGAACCATGGGATGGAAGGCCTCGCCAATGCACCACAATCACAGTAGTTCTGCTCTCTGTGTCTGGTATGTGTGTGGCATTTGAGGAAAGATGCTTGAGGAGCAGGAGTTGAAAGGAGCTAACTTGCCTCTCCTGACTGACAGAAGTAGGCTCTGCATCACCTCCACATAAACCATGGCAGAGAGGAGGTTTTACGGCAGGTTGGGAGAGGAACAGAGGGCTAGGGCCAGTCCTGTGGCCACAACCCCGACCCCCATGCAGGGGTCCACCCTAGGGACTCAAGTAATATAGGTGAGGTAGAGAGTTGCAGTGGAGGAGGGGCGGCAGAGCTGCTGCCTGCAGGTCGGTAATGGATTTAATTCTCCCACCACCAGCCTCTGTAGTTCCCATGCTTTCCCCGGGTGGGGTGAGGACCCAATCCTCCTCTCCCTGTTCATGAAGCTGAACTCCCATTGACTTCAGCTGGAGTTTTGCCCGAGGAAGGACTGAAGAAACTAGGCCGGGCTATCAAAAATGCCCCCCCCAAGTGTCTGCAACTATCCTGATGTAATGGAAATGGCAGAATAACCAACAGCACCCAGCATGCTGGGGCAACTCTGCTGCGGTCAGAATAGCCCCCCCGCGGGGAATTGATCTGCCAGGATCGTGACCTGCCACTGACTCCAGCGGGAGCAGGATCCGGCCCCACAGCTCTCTCTCTCTCTCTCTCACACTCACACACACACACACACACACACCCTTCCCCGGGGAAAGGGCCTGGCTGCGGCTGCTGCACGGCGTCTGCGGCCCCTTGTGCTCCGTGCCCGGGGCAGGCGGCGCGGGGCGCTCCGGTCCGGGCGGCTCCCGCTCCGGGTTTCTCTTGCTGTCGCCGCGCTGCTGGGGGCATTGTTGTGTGTGTTTGAATGAGGACGCAGGTTGTGGCGGCAGCAGAGCTGGTGCCGGCGCCTCCTCTGCTGGTTGCTCCTGCTGCGGGGCTGGGGAAGACCCGTTCTGCACCCGCTGCGGGGGGACATGCCCTAGCGGGAGGGAGCCGCTCAGAGGGACGGGCTTGCCCTGAGGACCGGCTCTAGGGAAAGGGGTGCAGGGCTAACGACAGGCACCAAGTTCTCGTGAACTTTCCCGTGGCAGGCGGTGGCTGCATCCCGGTAAGTTGTGTGGCGCAGCCCCCCGGGCAGCCGGTTTCATCTGTCGGGGTAAGATGCTCGGGAAATGGTTGGGAGCTGTCTGCTGTCACCCGCTGGGTCGGTGCAGACGCCTTGGAGCCATCAGCCTCCCCCCGAGGGGAGCTTCACGCCAGCGGGCTGTTCCCGACTCGAGGCGCAGCCAAGGGGAGGCAGGTTTTGTTCGCTTCCTTGGAGTAGATGTAATGGCCTCTCCAAGTATCTCGGCCCCAGGGAGCCAGGGAGAGGTCATTGTGTCTGCTACAGCCCCTTTGGGGAGGCATGAACTGTTAAGCCCTCCGTTTAATGCCATGGAAATGAGGAGCTCACACTAGTCTCAAATGGCGTGAATCATTTGCATTTAATGGAAGGGGGACAGAAGGCAAAGAGAGGCGAGGAGTGTAGGCAGAAGAAATGACTGGTATCCAGTTACTAGATAGACAATAACCACATACAAGCGTCTCAATCATTTTTTAACAGCTACGAATGTGCCTTCCTTCGGCTGGGAGCTGGAAAGCCGGAACGGTGGTGTGAGGATCCCTCTGGAAATTGGTATACCTTTTTCATTCATATCATCTGTTTTCTCTAGACTAACCAAACATAATGAGCGTGGCAGATACTTTTTAAGGATAAGTGTTCTGTTCTATTACTGGTTTGTACTTTTCCAGTTTGCCACCTGCTGTGTGACCCAAAGTGGGCGCTTGAGAGAGACAGAACTCTTTTGCCTGTATGTTTTGTTTTTAGATAACATAATTAAGAATAAAAAGTAGTTGTGGAAACAGTGATGGATTTGATTCACCTCCAGTCAAGTAAAGTCTTCTTGATTTAATATTTCCTTCTTTGTAATACACTTGTATTAAACAGATGAGTTCAGATATGTAGGTGAAAGAGAGAGCAAAAGGTTAGCCTTTGAAGAAAGGTTAATTGCTTTTCTTGTGGGTCTCCCATCTCATTTTCTGTATCCATTTAAGTCTTTTGCAGGTTAACTGACTCACCAGAGACAGAAAAGTTAAGATAGCCAATACAGATTATCACGTTGTTTGGAAAGCATATTTCCTTATTCTTAAACAGTATTCTCAGTGAATGTTAACAGAGTTTGTTTACCAGGAGTGTTAAATTTGGTACATGTACATATTTATTAGATTATTATGTCAACAGGCTTATATTTCAGGTGGCTCAGCACTGCTTTTGTCCTTCCTGCTCCTCTCAGTAACCCAATGTGGTTATTTAGCTGATGTATGGTAAGCATCAGATATGAGAGAGCCGATGAGCTTTTTCTAGCAGTTATTGCCACAAACAAGAAACATGGATTCCTAAATGGAGTTAGGGAATTCTTTAACTGTAGTTGGAATTGATCACCTTGCCCTGTAAAAGGAATTAAATGACTAGGGCTTTACTTTTTGATTATATAAATAAAGTGCAGTATGTTGCTATATAATACGCTATTAAGCACTTAGTCTCAAGGACAACAAAGACATCTGAATTAAATAATCATTTTTCTGCTTTGTAAGACTAGTTCTCTTATATCGTATTAGTAAATGGAATAAAATATGGTGTGTTGCCCTTACATCTCATGGTTAAAGAAAGTTTTGGCATTTGGATAGTTTATGATCCTGTTTGTTGGTTTGTATTCTGCAGCAATTCCCTAATTCCCAATGACATGTGTTCCTATTGGTTCCTGGAGGTAAATTGCAAAGAGCAATGTTAGCAGGGAGTCAGATAATTAGATAGAAAAACCTGGGAGGGGATGGGGCTGAAACAAAGGCAGAAGGGATCCGGGCAGTCTAGATTTATAGCCAGGCAAAATTAGTTTTGAAAGAACAATAGGTTGAGTAATTTGGTCCAGGATTTTTTTAAAACTTGCACTGTTGAAAGAATTTATGATTTGATCATCAGCTTCTTAAATGTTTATAGCCAAAGTATTTAAAATAAATATGTATAGTTAGGCTTGGAAGAATTTATTTTATTGGTAAATATCAATTTCACTGTATGCATATAAACTGTAAAAATTTGCATTGATGATAAAAATTTACAGATAGGCAAATTAAGAAAACTGTTGCTTGTAAACTTATTAGAGTTTGACTAAAGAATATTTACTTTGTATACTTGGACATGTGATGTTAACAATTTGTATTTTAACAGTTATAAAGCTTGAACTTTTTGAATCTCAACACCTACTGTCCTTAAATAATTATCTGTAATAATTACCCTCCATAATTTCCCACAGCTGTGAGAATGTAAATTGATAAAAAATCAAACAAAAAAAGCTCAAAATCCATATTTCTGCACAACTGTGAAAATTTAACTAGATAAAAATAGGGAAAAATGCTTAAAAATAAACATTGATATTATCCATGGACATTATTTAAAAAATTGAATTCTGCCAACCCTATCTACAGTATCTGCCATCTTTTTTCAGTTAGAATGTTCTTTTGGTTGCTGAGATGCTTTAAAGTTCTACAATACATCAATATGCTGAGGCTATAAAGAAACCATATCTTTTATCTTAGTTCTAGTGAAGTCCTCTATAAGTACCATCTTTATTACATATATCTCACTATAAGGAGCTCATGTCTTGTTCATATGAATAACTTTGGAAGAAATATTGAGCCTGGAGAGAGAAATTTTGTTGACAATTACAACATTAATTCAATGCTTCATAGGCATTATTTGATATTCAAAATACAGTTGATATTAAGATAAGTCATAAAGAGCTGTGTATCTCTTCCAAGATGTGTTTCAGGAATTGCATTAAATTGTATTCATTTTTTCAGTTCAAAGAGAAAATATGAAATAGAATTCCTATTGTTCATTTAGACTCTCACGTGCAAAAGTTTATTTTTGTCTTGTTTAACAATAAGGGTGTGAGATTCAGGAGGCTATGGCTTCCAGGAAGCTGCAGGTGCTCACTATTTCTCAGCATTAGGCCCTCAGTTTGGTTAGGAATATTTAGGGGTGAAATCCTGGTACCATTGAAGTAAATGGGAGTTTTGCCATTCAGATAGGAGACCCTAACTGTTGTAGTTCAGCTTACAGTTACAGAGGTCTTGTGGTTAAGAAAAAGTACTGAGAGTCTAGAAAGCTGAATTCTGTTTGCAGCTCTGTTGAAGGAACTGAGGCATTGAAGTCAATGGGAGTTTTGCTATTGACTCCAAAGGGATGAGAATTTCACCCTGAGTGTATTCTTAGCATCTATATATAGCTCTTTTTGGTCCAATCCTGTAAGATGCTGAGCACTCTCAGCTCCCACTGACTTAACCTCAGCACCTGGCAGGATTGGGCCCTTTCTGAAAGCACTTTACAAACATCTAATTAAGACTTTTTTAAACTGAGTTTTAGCTCTAAAGTAAAAATTAAGAAAACAAAAAAACAACCCCCCCCCCAAACCAACCTCCCCCCCCAACATTATTTCACTAATTGATCTTCATCCTTTGTGATATGGCTCACAGCCATGTGTCTGTTGTAATTATTAGGTTTAGATAAGTTGCTAGAAAGTACGGCACATAATTCTGGAGAGCAAAAGAAATGAAGAGACCGCCCAAAAGAATCATGCATAATTCTTAAGTTACCAAGACAAATGTAAGACTGTATCAATTGTATCAAATGTACTATTCAGGGCTTCTTTGTTCAAGAGATACCCGCTGTGTTATAAAGTACAGCGTTTGCGTCCTTTACATACACTCTGTTTATATACTTGTCCTTAAGTTTCATAATCCATATTTCACAAAGCTTCAGAAACTATTAAATGTAAATATGATTACTATATCCAAAAAATGTCCACCATAACAGTACTTAAAAGAAGTCTGGGCCCAATCCTGCAAGACTTACTAACACGAGTAGTCCCAACAGAACTACTAAAATAAATAAAGATTACTCATTGGTGTGAGGGTTGCAGGTTCTATACAAAAGAAAAAAATACTATGAAACTACTGCACTGTAGCGTATGCACTGTTGAAATCTTCGTGTATTGTTGAGCAACAGCTCCTGGAGTAATCCCAACAGAGTGAACAGATACTTATACCTTCTATATAGCCCAGGGGTCGGCAACCTTTCAGAAGTGCTGTGCCGAAGCTTCATTTATTCACTCTAATTTAAGGTTTCGCGTGCCAGTAATACATTTTAATGTTTTTAGAAGGTCTCTTTCTATAAGTCTATAGTATATAACTAAACTATTGTTGTATGTAAAGTAAATAAGGTTTTTAAAATATTTAAGAAGCTTCATTTAAAATTAAATTAAAATGCAGAGCCCCCTGGACTGGCGGCCAGGACCCGGGCAGTGTGAGTGCCACTGAAAATCAGCTTGTGTGCCGCCTTTGGCACGCGTGCCATAGGTTGCCTACCCCTGATATAGCCTGTGAAGGATTCAGTTTCTGGATAAAAGGTTAGGTTGTACAGCAAAAGAATATGATTCATCATCTGACTATCAATGATTAATTAAAAGATTTATGGCACTGGCTGAAAAGCATTTTCCCATTTAAAAAGTCTATAAAATAGAGATCAGCTGGTGCTTTTGGATCAGGTGGAGCAGAACTCATTATTGTAACAATACCAGCTCAGCATGGGATGTTGCCTAGGGAATTGAGTTAACAATTCTGTTGGTTCACCCTTTAAGGCTTGTGTTCCAAGATGACTCTGGGAGCAAGCCCATCAATATTTTAAAGGGGAAAAAAATTACTCTCTCTCTCTGAGTTGAAGGTGAAGTTATCCACTATTGATTTGCTGCTAGTAGATCCCAAGCCTGGCAATAAGCAGGAGTGCTTTTGCACTGAAGTGTTGTCAAGAAATACTATAGACATCAAAATGGTTTGATCCTCAAAATACAGGGGAAAAGTCTCATCTCAGGTCTCTATGTTAGTACTCAGCTTCAGTATTCAGTGTTTCTCTGATTTGTGTGACTTTTCCTGTGATGGTTGGATATTAGAAAAAACTTTTTCACTAGGAGGGTGGTGAAGCACTGGAATGGGTTACCTAGGGAGGTGGTGGACTCTCCTTCCTTAGAGGTTTTTAAGGTCAGGCTTGACAGAGCCCTGGCTGGGATGATTTAGTTGGGGATTGGTCCTGCTTTGAGCAGGGGGTTGGACTAGATCATCTCCTGAGGTCCCTTCCAATCCTGATATTCTATGATTCTATGTTAGGGAGTGCTAATACTGTAGATGAGTATTACCATGTGGAGCTGAGGGGAAAATCTTTCTGTTATTACAAAGAAGCTTAGGCCCTGTCTACACTACCACTTATGTTGGCAAAAGTTATGTTGCTCAGTGGTGTGAACCCCAAAGCAACATAAATTTTGCCGGCATAAGTGGTAGTGTGCACAGCGCTATGTTGGTGGGAGAGCTTTTCTCTCCAAAATAGCTATCACCGCTTGTTGGGGGTGGTTTAATTAGATCAAAGAGAGAGCTCTCTCCTGTCAGCATAGAGCAGCTCCATGAGAGATCTTAGAGTGGCTGGCACAGCTGCATTGGTACAGTTGTGCTGCTGTAAGCTCTCTAGTGTAGACGTAGCCTTAGAGAGAAAAGGAGCGTGAGTTAATAATCGTATCCACTCATTATACT